GGGGGGGATGCTTGCAGCTCTCTCTTTCTCTCTCTCTCCCTCCCTCCCTCTCCCTCCCTCTCTCTCTCTCTCTGTATGTGTGTGTGTGTGTGTTTTAGAACTGCCATACAAGGAGGAGGGCAGGGGGAGAGAGAGGGGGAAAGAGAATGAGATTTCTAGATGGTCTTGTAAGAGTGCCTTAGAAGTTTATGATAAAATTTCAGTGGTTCTGGTGAAAAATTACAGTTCTCAAATTCTGAGGAATAAGATTTATCTCCCAAGACAGGGGAAATGAATCAGGTCTTTCCTAAAAGGCAGGATCTTCCCTAGGATTGCAGGCTAAGGTCACAGGGCTTATGAGTTGTCCAGCTGTTAGTCTTTATCAGAGAACAAGATGTGCTGATTGGATGCCTAAAAGAGCTCATTGCCTTCATCAGCTTCTATGTATGAATTGAGAAGAGGTGCCATCAAGCAATTAAATGTCCTGGCCTAAACTTGATCCCTCCAGGTTTAAAAAAAAAACTTGAGAGAAATAAATGAATGAATTAAGTCTTTGGAGAGTGATTGATCATCTTTAATTATCCTACTTTACCTACAAAACCTTAGAAAGGGAGACGTGCAAGCATTATGTCCTTCCTTTGATGAACTTTCCATGCTTTCTTATCACTTTACATTTTTTCTCAAGAGAAAGAGACAAAGAGAGGGAGAAGGAAAGAGGGGGAGAGAGGGGGGAGGGAGGGAGAGAGAAAGAGAGGGGGAGAGAAACAAAGAGAGAGGGAGGAGAGGGAGAGACAGGGGAGGGGGAGAGGGACAGAGAGAAAAAGAGGGGGGGGGAGAGAAAGAGAGAGTTAGAGTATTGAGGAAGAAAAACCAGAATATTAGCACAAGGTCTTTTGGTAGTGCTGGGAGTCACTGTTTAGAAGCTCTAAAGGAAAAAGTTGCATCTAAAATGCTTCAGAACATAGCAATTTGATTTTATGTAGAAATCAAATTGCAATCATTGCAGGAAGAGAGCCCTGTGGGAGCCAGGAATCTGACAGCACCAGAAGGAATTTGGTAACATTTCAATATTTTTCAATTTCAATATTTTTTCTTTGCTTGTTGCCCTTGAGACAATGTTGACGCCTGGCACCAGCCTTACATGTCCCAACAGTTTTCTTGGTGAGATTTTAGAAGTGGTTTGCCCTTGCCTTTTTCCTAGGTCTAAGAGAGAGTGAATGGCCCAAGGTCACCAGGCTGGCTTTGCACCTAAGGGCAGGAGTAGAACTCACAGTCTCCCAGCTTCTAGACCGGTTCCTTAATCACTGTACCAAACTAGTTCTCACTTTGGCACAACATACTCAAAATAACTAGAATGAGTAAGTAGGGGAATGAAATACCATTGCATAAATGTTAAATACCCTATTCAAACAGTTGGAGTTTTTCTTGGTAGTGGATTAGAGCCTAAATGGTTTGGGGCCAATTATTATCTATCAGTCCAACCTCACAGGATTGTTGTAGAAAAAAAATGAAGTTCATACGGTGCCTTGAATAATGAAGGAAAAGTGAAGACTCCAAGTAACAAAGAACAAATGAATAATCTGACACAAACATTATTGCCTTTGAAGGAAGTCCCCTTCTCTCTCTCATACTTCACCTCCGTAATTTTGCTAGCTTCCTTGTAGATTTGATTCAATCCTCAAACTAGCCTCCCTACAACATAATCCCGTCTGGACACCCTGGGAATCCTGTGAGTTTGGAAGCCAGGAGGTTGAGGTAGAGGCTGGTTTATGTCAATGAATCAGTGCTTTATTTTGACACATTCTTCTAACATATGTACCCATTGCCATACTCCCATTTCACGTTGGAGTAGGCAACATGTCCAGAGGTGGTATTCAGCCAGTTCGGAGGTTCTAGAGAACTGGTAGCAGAAATTTTGAGTAGTTCAGAGAACTAGTAAATATCATCTCTGACTGGTGCTGCCACCATTTATTCTCTGCCTCCCGAGTCCCAGCTGATTGGCTGGGTCTTCTTTTGCTGCCCTGCACAGGAGAGCGGAGCTGGAAAGCAGGTTAGTGGGGTGGGGAGGGAATGGGGATTTTACAGTATCCTTTCACTGGAGTGGGGTGGAAATGGAGATTTTGCAGGACCCTTCCCCTGCCCTGCTCACCAAGCCCTGCTCACCAAGCCACACCATACCACACCCACCAAGCCACGCCCACAGAACCGGTAGTAAAAAAAAATTGAATACCACCACTGAACAGGTTACATGAAGAGGGAAAGGGGAAAGTGATAATATGCAAAAAAATAATTAGAAGGACTAAAATAAGAAAAAGAAAATTCAGCTAGATTTCATTTACACTAGTGTCATTCCATTCCTTTCTGTCCTTGATAATCATTCTTCTTTCTTTCACCATGTCCAAATTCCACATGCTACCTTTTCTTGAGTTACACTTTAAAGAATATAAATTAGAAATGCTTCACTTCTTGATAATACTTTGAATAATCGCAATAGCGAACTGCCTGTACTGAAAATATTTAGATAACCTTTAGATAGGTGACAAAGGCTGAATTTGAAGACTTTGATTATTCTAAGAATAGGCTATTGTAATATGTTGATAATGGGAGGACCCCTACAGTGAAATATCAGCCCAATGAAAAAATGATTAATGTTGAATGGGTTTCAAATTCCTTTCCTTTTCTTTAAAACTTGCAAGTTTAGCATTTCATATATGAATACAACTGAGGCTATGCAAAAAGTATGTCCTTCCATCCTTGTACCATTTGCTCCTGCAAGAGAAACTTCTGTTTCTTTTCTACCTCATTCTCAGAGTACCTTAGAATTTATTTTGGGATAGTCTGGGACTCATTTTATACTGCGAGATAATCAAAGTGTTTGTTCTTTGTTACCCTTTAAAAAAAAAACTTCCAGGCTGTCCCTGCTTTGTGATCTAAAAAAAGCCAAGGAAAAAAGTTTCCTTGAGATACATTTCCTTGGAAATTAAATACAGCTAGTCCTCATTTAGTGACCACAATTAGGACTGGCAATTTAGTTGTTAAATGAAGTGGTCGCTAAGTGAAAACACAATAATGCTTATGAACTTACTTGAGCTTTCTTTGCTTTACAGACTGCAAAGTTTGTAAATGAAAAGACAGTTTGCCAAGTAGCTGGTTGCAAAATTGTTTTTTTAATCACTGTTGCGACTGCAAATGGACGTTAAATGAACCAATTGCTAAACAGGGACTACCTGTGATTTTCTATTCATTGTATTGGAAATGTTTGTGGGGAAAATGGAGTAGAATATGTTGACTCAGCATTACCAATAATACTTGTAAATTCAGGTAGTGGGCATTAGAATTTTTGAGGAATAGTTTGGCAAAAATGGACACACAGCAAATAAGATCTTGTCTATGTGAGTGGATTTGTATGTGTGTAATTCTGTGTATATATCTGTCTATCACATCATAGCAATAGCACTTAGACTCATATACCACTTCACAGTGCTTTACAGCCCTCTCTAAGCGGTTTACAAAGTCAGCATATTTCCTCCAACAATCTGGGTCCTCATTTTACCCACTTCCATCCCAAGGATGGAAGGCTGAGTCAACCTTGAGCCGGTCAGGATCGAACTCCTGGCAGTCAGCAATGAGTTAGCCTGCAATACTGCATTCTAACCACTGCAACACCATGACTCTTGGTTATGAATGGAAAT